TAACATTTCCAGCACGGCTTAATTGGAGAGGAGAGCCTGAGTGACCTTCTGATAAAAGTGTGTCTTATCCTGTCTGAGTCATCGGTGTCTCCTACGCATTTTATCTCTCTAGCTCTCTTTCCCTCGTAGAAGGGAATGGGGCAATTGAAATGATGATGCTTTTCAGAGTACCATTCTGTCTGTTGATGGGATGGGGTGGTGAGTGAGTTACATTTCATCTCCATTAATTTGTCCATTGCTGGTGACTCACTGGCCATCTCTGCTTAATGGATTGCACAGGATATTGTTACACAAAGCAGAGATGTTTCAGACACCATTTGTTCCTGTGATTTCAGTTTGTAGGCACAGTTGACGCTTCCATTTTAAGAATAAATTATATGCGCAGATAAGTCTGCAAGAGCAGTGTGCTTTTAGTAGACACTACAAAATGATAGCATTAGAAGGTGCCTTCCACTGAAACCATATGTGCTGTCACTATGATGACGAGAAGCACATCATATTCTGTAGCCTCGAGCGGTGCATATGTACACCAAGCACGCTTCACAGGGTACAGTCATCCTAATGAGTGCCAAGCTCAGAAGGGTGAGACAAGTCTTTTTTCTTCTCTAAGCTTTTATGCCGAAGTACTGAATGAGGTTTCAATTAGCTTAAAATGCAATAAATTACATGTGTGACCATGCAGAAACTATTACTCAAATAAGATTTAAAGGGCAATGTTTATTATCTAGCATGCTACTAAAGTCTTGGCATATATAAGCAATTTCAACTGGCTGTTGATTATTTCTGCTGCAGAGCAAATTCGGGACTTGCTACTGCCAATACATACACAGACACACTGCTGTGAGCAAGTCAGACATGCTGCTGCTGTACAACATAGCATACATGAATTAGCCATCGCAGATGTACACAGGTGGAGCTGGGGAAGGAGGAGGGTTTCTGAAAGCATGCTGCACTGCTAAGGCAAATGCCAACCAAGTATTTAAAGGTTGAGCATGCAAGCTCATTGGCTACTGATACAGCAGGAACCAATCAGCTGTGCCCTACAGAAGATGATGTGATTGCGAGCAGGTTACCTTGCACTATCTAGAGTTTCATGACAGAACTTTGTATTTGTTGGAAATGTCCTTTTTCCCACTTCTGATGTCGTAATTACGAGTTTGTCGTGTTCAAGTGCTTTGTTGATGGAAAGAATATAAATAATTGAGGATAGCAGGTTAGTTCAAATGCATACAAAATGCAAAAAAATGGTTATTTACATATGAAAATATGAAATGACTTATCAGCCATTCACTACAGAAATGGTTTTCTCTTCCGCCATGTTTAAAGTTTATGGCCAGCTCAACTTAACTAATTTAACCAGAGTTTCCTAATCTTAAATACGACTTGAGAGGGCTTCATGTCCAATTTCTGACTAGAAAACTTGAATATATTTCGATAGCAAGTGAAAGCAGAGACAAGACCAACCAAACTAGTTTTATACGTCAACATAGAACAGTGCTTGTCAAACTATTTCAAGGGACCTTTTACAGACTGCAGGGCTTTTTGTTGTCCTTTTTAGCCCTGAACAGTCCACATGCTTAAACTTTGTCAAACATATACCAAGGCTACATCCAAAATTACATACTTGCTAACTATTTAGAAGGTGAAAAGCAGTATATAAAAAGAGTCTGAATTCACAGTATTCATAAGACAATAGGCGAAAAGTTCTTGGAAGGTGTTCGACTACAATCAGATTTTAGAGTTGGGGCTTGAGTAACATTTATCATCAAGAAATTGAATGCCGGCCCATTTCAAGCACTGTTTCCAAATGACTTTTGATAGTAAATGGTTAGAGATCAGCTTAGTGATAGGGTTAGGAATTTGCTTGTTTGACAAAAAAAAGATCTAGAATTGGTCTATGTTTTTCCCCCTTTATCTTCCCTCACGGCATCATCTTTGTACACCCCAGTGATAAGTGTTTAGGCTCAAATGTTAATGATAAATTGAATCACGATCAAACATCCGGTCCCCAATGGAGAGATAAATCTCAAACGCTTATGACATCCATTGGGTTGTTCATCTTCAATTCAGATGAGGAACATTCAGTACACCACAGGAACATGTATAAATAGGATGTGTCAGTGGTGGTCTCATTGTTCGCGTTGTCGCGCAGATGATTGATAGCCACTATCACAAGAGTAAAGGCCCTTTCCCATTCTCCCTGGTTACGGGGTTGCTATTGATTTAGAATCATAATGACTGTACAGCCATCTTTAATTTATTAGCTTGGCTGATATGAATATTTGATGTTCCCACAGGGATATTTCAGCGCCTAAGATGAAGAATGGCAGGATGGAACATAGACAGGTGTAGATATCAGTTTGCCGGAGCGAGCCGACAATCTTCTGATCTTGAGATGAAATAAAAACGAAAAGGTCTCAGGCAAAGTCATAATGCATCATTCTTTATTGACTAGTTGGAAAAACATAACATGAAAATAAATGTTTAGATTAGTTGGTCCCTCAAGGCTCAGTAGATCTAGAACAAAGAGATCCAGGTAAACAAACAAACGTTCTCTTTTTTGACTGAGCAAATAGTCAAGCAGATTTTTTTTTCTACAAGGAAATTTGCACATTAATATATATTTCCTTTTTCATCGAAATATACCCAGCAATAGAAATAATTATTTTTGTCCATGAAAATCTTATTAAGTTAGCAAAGCATAACAGACTCCGTTAAAATACTTTACAATATTTTAGTAACAAGTCTATTTCTTTTCATTCTCAGAATCACACAAAAAATATCTATGATTTGGTGCTTCATTTTGGATCTGCTAAACAATAATTTGTCATCACATGCAAATCTATACACAGTAATTCATCAACCGACAGGCTATTTGACTGTGCACATATCTCCCAAAGGTCCCAACTAGGTTTATGTCAAATCCAAGACATAGACTATTCTAGTGCCTGAAATGGGACATCATTGTGCTTATATACAACTCAATTTTATCCTATACAGATTTAGCTGTCCCTGACATGTTTCAGATTACAGTTAATCAAAACCAAGGTCTGGATTTGTAACAGATAACCCTTGTGTACGTGTATTTGACAATGCCGCGTAAATGTACCACATTTCAGATTTCCATTTCCACAAAGCAATAACAGCTTTTTGTTTGTTTTTTCTGTTTATTTTTATTAATAACCTCTGTAAGGTAATTTGGCCTATTCAATTATGTACGCTCAAAATGAGTTTTAAAAAATAAGTGCTCTAGTGGGGATCTCAACCTCGTTCTCTTAAAGGGATAGTTGACCCAAAAATGGAAATTCTGGCATCATTTACTCACATTCATGTTGACCACAAAAGAAGATTTTTTGTCCATATAGTTAAAGTCAATGGAGTCTAAAACAGGGTTATTATACTTAACTGAAACTAATACTAAAACCATTAAAAAAAAACATTTTCATTACTTGAAATAAAAAAGTAATAATTTAAATTATATATATATATATATATATATATAAAATTAAAAAAAAAAATATGCACAAAAAAACTATACTCTTAACTATACTAAAATAACACTGATTGGACCCTATTGACTTTAATTGTATGATAATTTTCAGATGAACTATCCCTTTAAATGTTAAACGCACAGGAAGGCACCATATTAATCATGTGAGATGGTCTGTACGTTTCATTTAGCCTGAAACAATCAATAAACAATATCAGCTAGTCTGAAGCTCTCTTTTCTCTGGCATTGTTAATTACTCCATGCACATCAGCCGTTGTTCACCTAGATAATGAAAGCTTTTTATTTCTGGATAGGGTACTTCAGCTGCAGCCTAAATAGCACATGTAGACTTTAGTGTACTACTCAACAGCCCTAACAATCGCCCTAAAAGGGCACACGACATTGTGAGCCTTCATAGACAAAGCCTACAGATGCTACACAAGCTTTGCTTCATTACATCAAGAGTCTCTACACTGTATGTCGCCAAAGGGCTCACATTTCACAATGATAGACTTTCTAACACATCACAACAGAGAATCCGCCGAGAACAACCTTTTGTTTGCATGCTTACTAGAAGATCAAACCCAATACAACGCAACCCATACTGTGAGCTCAACCCAAGAGCAGCTGCTGACAGATAGGAATACTAGCATAGTGGATAGTTCGGATTAATGTGAAGGGTGGCATTTGTACCGAGATACAACAATGGCTTATGCTGGGCAGTGGGATTTGCTCTAATTGACGGTTTTGTCCAAAAGCAGAGTGTGCAGCCGTTTACTTCTATGGATTCTTGTCTAGGTCATCTTCACGTAAAAGTACTGCTCATGAACACACAGAGCTCATTTTGTGAAATACATGCAAGAAAAGGCATGCCCTTCTCTCAATGAAATTCGTTCAAATGTCTCAGGCTTGATTCAAACCCTTAGAGAGGCATATCTGTGATCCTTATTTTACAGGACTGTTTTTTCTTTCCCAACTGTTGCTTACAGTGTTTTCATGTTTGATCTTGGTATTACCTGACAACAATTTGGCACTATAAACTTGAAAATTGTTCACTCTACTATTCATTCTCACAGATATGATCAACGATACAGAACAAATGATACAATTAAAAGATGAAAAGCACAATAATTATAATAAGTCAATGGTCATAAAATTACAGTATCTCACAAAGAGGGAGTTTTAGCCATTCAAGACTTCAACGAAAAAAAAAAAACGCTATTAAATGACAGGGACACTTAATAGTGGGTTGCGAATGTGTCAGTGGGAAACAAGCTAGTGTTTTAGTGCAACTAATCTTGTTTAACCCAAATTACAAACACTGGGAAAGAGTTTGCTTAGGAATTGGACCAATGCCATGGTGTTTCAGATTAATCAAGGATTTTTTCTGAAATTTTATTTGTTAAGTCTGACAGCAAGTTTAGCTACACAACAAAAACCCAGATGCTAATAATAAATAGTATTTAGTGTTTCATTTCATCACAATGTCCGAAAGCAAAACATAATAACCAAACAGAGGGCTATCTTGTTCTTTCAAAATAAAAATAAAATGATAATAATATTATTAATTTGGGTCATGAACAGACATCCAGATAGGCAGCATTGCAATAAAATTCATGCACTTACAAATATAATCAATATTTAATCTAATAGCACCCAAATTCACAGTGGATTACCTAGTGCAGAGAAAATATTGGCTTTTGAAGTCAACGAGTAGCTAAATGGAGAGCTTTAATAACAGACTTTGACATTTCATTTGTTTAAGACTTGGTCCACTGAGCAACGTGAGGTATGCGCCTTAACTGCTCTTATTTAACAATGGGCATGGAAGAAATGCCTCTACACCATTGGTCTAGGACATAATGACAATGATTTCAACTTCATTTAAATGACCAAAGTAAACCTGTTCCAGATCAGAGCCAATGTTGATCAAAACTATGGACCTGTTCTTGCTGCGAAGTGTTCTTGTACGAGGAGATGAAGGGAGCCACATGCTACACTGGACTGTGATCGGGCGATGTGTAGGTCATAGTCACTGCACTACACTCGGACGGTTCCCTGGTCCTGCGGAGATCCGAGTACAGCCGCTCTTCGAGGGTAGCCGCTAGCTTGTCACTCAGCTCTTCTGTGATTGTCTGTGGGCCGTAGCTTGTACATTTGTGCGTACACTCATCAGGAGGCTGAGGGGGTGGCAATGCTAGCCTAGAGTTCTCCCGGTCCACCGATTGCTCTCCAGCAATGTCAATTGTTGGAAGGGGCTGTGATGCCTCAAGGACTTCCTTTTCGTTGATGGTTCCACTGCTTTCAGTGCTGGAAGATATTCTTATGTTGTCTGGATCCACATCAGTAGCAGTATCCTGATCTGCCTTGGGTGTCTCGGGAGTACTGGTTGCACCTTCGCTGCTCTCTTCATCGGGTGCACTAATGATTCGTGGGAGCGTGCTGTGGTAGCTAGTCTCTAAAGGATAGTTGACAGTTTCGCCACGTCGGAGCGGAGAGCGGTACCGGTCAAAAGAGGTTTGGAAGCGCTGGCCGGGGTCGCTGTATTGTTTGGAGCGCTGCCACTGCTTGCGCAGGTGCACGCGAGAACGATGCTTGGAGCGCAGCGGGGACTCCTGCTGATCGAACTGTGGGTCGTGCCGCAAGTACTCGTTGAAAAGTGCGTCGGTTTTCTCGTCGATGCTGTAGTCGCGGCGGGAAAGGACGGGGGGATGAGGTTGATCATTCCGTTGAGTGAACATCTGGCCGTAAGGGGACCACAGAATGGTGCTCTTGTCCGTTTCCACTCCGTCCACACCACCACTGGCACCTGCTGGTTCCATTTCGAGTTCTTCTTCAAAGATCTCCGTGTCGAAGCTCTCGCACACGGTCCCTTTGCGGTCGGAACTGAAGAAGTGCCTGCGCTCCACGGCGGAGCCGTCTTTACTGCTACTGCTGCTTCCGAACAGTCGCAGCTCCTCAGGAGCACGCGGAGGTGCTTCTATCGAGGCGTAACCGCTGTCCATCTGGAGGAGCTTGCGGTTTCCTGGCTCCCCGTCACTTCCTCTTTCAGAATCGACACTATCCTGCTTACGACTTTTCTCCGATCCCTCATCTAGAGGCAAGTCTGCATCCCCCTCTATCTCATCCCCAATATCCTGTGAGGGGAACCTAGGCAGTCGTCCCATCTCGGTCTTACCCCCTATAGAGCACACGCTTTCTGCGTCACTACGGACTGAGTCTTTGTCATTGTTGCTGCTCTGGTCGGACGAGACATACCGCTCGAGGGAGGCGCGAAGAGTCCAGATATCACGGTACAAGGTCTGAGGTTCTAAACTCTCCTGATGACAGCCCATTCCAAGACTCTCATCTGGGGGCTCGGAGGTAAGGCCGATCACCCCGGGACCCATCGCTCTGCTGCAGCTCGGCTCCACCATCACCTCCACCTCTAACCTGAAGAACAGCACACATATGAAATCAGACAAGCTCATAGTCCTACATATAGTCAGTATTTCTTTAAAAATGCCACAATGTAGCACAGCATGCTTTATATCAGTGTGCATCTGTCAAATAAGCTTACCGTTAAAGCCCTGAGCCCAGATTCAGACATTTTAACTTTTATTTTAACGTAAATATACTGTATTTTTATATAATTTTATTCATGGCAATGGTCCAAAAACAGTAAATAAATAAAAACGCAAAGCACGATAATTAAAGTAGCACTGCTAAAAATATCTAAAAACAAATAGATCCAAACTAAGGTAAACTATTCAGCCTAACTAACTGACTAGTCTAAATTATTCAAAAAGTCAACCACTGTGAACCATCCCTACTATATTAATATGTTTTATGTTGGTGTGGGTCTACACAACTGTTCAAAAGTACGAGGACTGTAACTTTTTTATGTTTTAAAAAAAAAAGTCTCTTATGATCACCAAGACTGCATTTATTTGATCGAAAATACAGTAAAAACAGCAATATTCTGAAGCATTATTACAATTGAAAATGTATTTTTAAATTTAAATGTAGGGATGCACGATATATCAGCCAACATATCGGATATCATTTTTAATGTTATCGTTATCGGCCCAATAAGAAAATTTGGCCAATATATAAATGCCAATAAATAATGGATTATTTCCTTCAGCTGAGACAATTCAGATGCTCACTGTTCACCATGATGGTTTTAAATTGCTTGAAATATGATTGGAATCTCTTCAAAAAAGGAAAATAGTACAGTTAAATCTGTTGTATGTGTGTTTGGGACGTGGCTTTTAATGGTGGGACTTTTGTTTTGTAATCAGGCTCTCAAAAATTACATAAAAAATTGGAGTTCGATTAATCGGCCAATATATCGGTTATCGGCTTTCAAATATAAAGAATTATCGGTTATTGATATCGGCTAAAATTGTCCTATTGCTGCATCCCTAATTTTAAAATGTATTTTATTCCTCAAACAAAGCTGAATTTTCAGCTTCATTTCTCCAGTTTTCAGTGTCACATGATCCTTCAGAAATCATTCTAATTTACTGATGTGCTGCTCAAGAAATATTTCTCATTAATATAAATGTTAAAAACTGTTGTGCTGCTCAATATTTTTGTGGAAACTGATGCATTTTTTATGAACAAAAAGTTCAAAAGAACAGCATTTATTTGAAATAGAAATCTTTTTTATCATTGTAAATGTCTTTACTGTTGATCACTTTAATCATCTTTGCTTAATAAAATTATTAATTTCTTTTTTAAAAATGTTTAGTTTTGAACGGTACAGTATATCAAATATATTATGTTTGTTTATTTTTCCTTTCCGTTAAAGCTCCGAGGCCCAGATTCAGAGATGTTAAAACAGATGCCCCCATGAACGCACAGATGGTTGTGACTCACTCTGTGATGGTTCATTCGAGGAGACCACTGCACAGCAACAGATTCAAGAAAGTCAGTTGTAATAGGCAAGCAAATATAAACAAATGTACTCATGATGCGATACAAAACCATGCGTATTGACCTTCCTGGACCATTTTGCAAAACGTATGCAAACCAATCGCTACAAATACCAAAAAGGTACACCTGTGGAATTAACCCACACTCAAGGAAACAACTTCCATATTCTAAAGCAAAGCTTTTTGCACTGTAAGCTGATGATGCCATGATATGGCAGTGTGATCAGCGAGCTGAGATCAGTCCAGCATGGAATGGGGTCTGCTTTATGAGGAATGGCGTGGCAGATGGTTGCTATAGCGAATGCATGGGCGAGGCAATTAAAGATACCTGCCGAGGGAGGGTGGGGGTGTGGAAGGGGGGGACAGAAGGCGTGGACTGGGCCGGGTGGGGCAGTAGGTAACATCCTTGGTGCGAGCGATGTATTGGATGAGGTCGATGTGATGGGCGTCATGCTCCTCTTGGTCCATGCTCTCGCTGGCTGCACGCTGCCGCTGGAACTGCCTCCGTTTGGGGGAGCCTTTGGGGACGACATGAATTTTGCGTCACAAAGCAAGTTAAAAGGCTAACATGAAATCAAAATCAACACATTCCAGGTTTTATTGTCAATGATTAATTAATCCACCCAAAAAACCTGCATAGTTTCTTGTTAGTATTAGCCAATGGTCCCCAACAAAATTCAGCAATTCCGTGTTTCCCGAAACCATAGTTCCAACGAACATTCGCAAACATCAAAGTTACGTGGTTGGAGCTACAGCATAGGTTCTAGTTGGTATTAGCCAAATATCGTCACAAGTTTTTGTAATCTCTAATTAAAAAGCAATAACTTGCTTTAATTGTGTTTTGATTAGAATACATTGATTGAAATATTTCAACACATCCACAGCTCAAATCAAATCCGAAAATTGCGCATACGCATTACTCCACGCAGCTCCTGCACTACTCTCCCATTAAAAATGAATGACTTCTGCTCTGTCATTTGTTGGAGATAGTAAAAGAGTTATGCAGGCTATTGGATAAAGTTAACCAACAGTAAAATGTTTATTTAGGCATTGTTTTAGCAAACTTGCATTTGGTCTGGCTCCATTTTGGTATCTAACATGAATTGTCTATAAACTGTTTTTAATTATACATTTTAATAACACACTATAATTTGTATTAAATTCGTTAAATTAATTTTTTTAATTTATTTATTTTAATGTAATTTTTTTTTTAAAAATAATTTAATACTTAGTTGAAAATTTGCCTCTAATTGCTTTTTATGTGTATTCTAAATATAGTACATTAGTTGTAATGCATTCAAAAAACATAATCAACATATTGACAATATAATATGTATCTTATTAGTTAACCAGGGCACTCTATAATGGAAATCCATTCTATTAGAGCATTGCTTTAATCATGACCTTATTGTTCCACAGAATAAAAGAAATTGATCGTTTGAAATGCTCTTTTTTGCCATCTCTCCTTTAAAAAAGAAAAAAAGAAAAAAAAAGTTTGGAATGGAAGAGCCCTGCGTCAACCGGCCATCTGTTTGAGAGTGAGTCTTGGCACACAAATACAGCAGCTCCGTCTTGGCTGAGAGAATATTCTATAGTCTGTGTGTGTGTGTGTGTGTGTGTGTGTGTGTGTGTGTGTGTGTGTGTGTGTGTGTGTGTGTGTGTGTGTGTGTGTGTGTGTGTGTGTGTGTGTGTGTGTGTGTGTGTGTGTGTGTGTGTGTGTGTGTGTGTGTGTGTGTGTGTGTGTGTGTGTGTGTGTGTGTGTGTGTGTGTGTGTGTGTGTGTGTGTTTAGCAGACTATAGATTACTATCGAATATAAAGCCGACCTGTTTCTCTGAGCACGCTACATGAAGGCACTAAAACTCTATTAAGGTCTTCAATCATTTTCCAAGGTAATACACAATGCAGGGGCTAAATGAAAAGCACAGAAACATTCAATATTGCTTTGCATCTAAGCCCTGGGGCTAGGAAACTGATCGCTTCACAGGTTCATAACACTGTCTGTACTTTCCACAGCAGTGTTCTTTCACTTCCTTTCATGCTGACAGACGTGAGAGGATAAACCGAAAGATTTTTACAGTAATGCTTATATAATCAAACAACAGCATTCTAGTTAATCTATTCATTCATTTTTATTCATTCAGTCTCATCAGCTACACCATGCGCTTTTCTCATTATTTATATATTAGGCAGAATAATATCACACTAAAAAGATTTTTGACATGTCAATGTATGGGGGGAAAAAATGGGCAGAGCCCAAAAAGACTCAATTTTAAGCTTTTCATTGTCTTAATCACAAATTATTGTTCAGGAAATTAGCCAAATTTAAGCAAATGTACTACTTAAAAAGCTATTGCTTTCTCAGATTTTTTTTTTTTTTTTTTTTTTTGGCAGAATATGGGAAGTTGTGTGTGGAGTGATGAATCACAATGAAACACGAGTTGCATTGTGATGCTCCAGAGCGGTGTCATCAAAGATCTGCTGAGAAATATAATAATAAATGCATCTCTACCACAGTGAAGCAGTTTTAGCTGCTTGTATTAGTGAGCTGCTTTACTGTGAAAAGTCATTTAATGCTTTGGAGTACAGGCGAATATTGCAAAATGGCTTGCTTCCCACAATTGAAAAGCTGTTATCTAAAGAGGAATGATCAGATTTTACTTTTCACCAAGACGATTCTCCTGCCTAAATTGCGAACACAGCCAAGAAGTGGCTTGAGAACAAGTCCATCAGGTTCGTGTTTTGATCTGATCGGAGTCCAGATTTGAACCCTGTAGTGAATTATTGGTGTCATATTGAACTCAAACAAACTGCGGAGACATTTTTCAACTACCGTTAACATGAAGCCCTTAACATGAAGTGGAACGACACTGACTCTTCTTCCTGTAAAAATCTGTCTGCAAGATGCGGCTATTCCGTGCTATATCTACAGTATTTGTGATTAAAATAGTTAGACCATTAAAAGACCACTGAATATTTGGCCCCCCTTTATGTTGTTGTTGTTTTTTTTGCCCACGAGTGTATAATAAAGAGACAACAGAAAACGGGGAGAAGAAGAACATGTGATTGAGTATTAAAATGTATTAAAATAGAAAACAGTCCTTTTTTTAATTTGTAATGATATTTCACAATATTACCATTTTACTGTATTATGGATCAAATAAATGCAGCCTTGCTGTGCATAGGAGATTCAAAAACATGTAATGATTGTACTGACCCCAAACTTTTGAACGGTACTGTCAATTACATAAATGACCTGAAACTATTGTGGACGCAATGTTTTTTCAAAATTGTCTACTTGTCATGGGTTGTCTAAACAGTCTTTCTAAAGGAGATTATAATACTATATGGGGGTCTTTGGCATTAAATACAGTCGGAAAAAAAATTCTAATAAAAAAAATAGCAATTCCATTATAACATGCACTAAAAACACAGTCTAATTCACACTGAGTGCTGGATGTGTCACTGACCTCTCATGTCTAGACTTGAAGCTCTTTGGCTGCTGTCAAACTTCCATTTCTTGATCTTGAAATAGGGACTTGCTCCCTCAAGGCTGGCGTGTCGGCGGAGCTTGGTGAAGAACTGCAGCATTGGGCCCTGCGGGGCCCCTCCAGATGAGGACAGGGCCGTGGCTGAGGCCGATGCACCCTCTCTACCATTACCCATGATGCCTGCGTTTCTGCCGACTCCTCCTCTGACCTCCATCTGTTTTTGTTCGCAAGATTACATAATTGAAATATATAAATTATAAGAGATTAATTATCGGCATTGGCCGATAAGTTTAACTGTTTGGGTCTTTTTTGCGGGACTTTTATTTTGAAATCACTGAGAACGTCAATGAGCATCCAAATCTCTCATAGGCTTTATGCCGAACGTCACATGAACAAACAGGAAAACGGGTCTGGTTGCCGGAGAACGTACGGCAGTAAGAACTGAAGGATTATCTATGGACTTTTAAGGTAATCAGCTGACCTAGCTAGTTCTTTTTATTGTTGGTGTTTTATCCGATTTAAATATCTGAATGTTAGAAGACGAAAAAAACCTTTTAGATATCAGTCTGAATATGTGATGGACAGAGGTGGAAAGTAACGAATTACATTTACTCGCGTTACGTAATTGAGTAGTTTTTTTGTGTACTTCTACTTTTTTAAGTAGTTTTTAAAATCTGTACTTTTACTTTTACTTAAGTACGTTTTCTTGGAAGTATTGTACTTCGCTACATTTGAAATCATATCCGTTACTGAGTAAAAAATAATAATACAAGAAGAAAAGAAAAAAAAACACACTCCGGAAACTACTGCATTGGTTGAAGGGCGGGAGAACAAACGCGCAAGAAAGGTGACGCAGACCCAGCTGAAGCTGAAACCGAAGCGCCAAGCGAATTATGGCCAGTATGAAAATACTTTGTAGAAAAAAAGCGTGGTTGTCCTCGAGGATAAATATCCAATTTGCACAAAATGTGGACGCAAAGTGGCTGCAAAAGGAGGATATAGGACACCATCCCTCCTGCAGATAAAGGTATGTCCCGATTTACGTGATGCAGAGGGAACCCCGGAATCCAGTCATGAAAATGAAATTTACATAACGCAGATGTCTCGTAAAACACGCAAAATAATGGATGGATGAATACATGGAAAGTAGAACTGTGCAATAAATCCAATCGCGACATGGTCTGTGAATATTTAAGCTAAGCACAAAAATACTGCATGTAGGCGGCCTATAACCCTATTTGTTCTGCTGAGCTGCGCCACTTTACATACTCTACGCGTGACATTCAGAGTCTCACAAACAATTTGAGGATATGAATACATGAACATTTCCAGAGCTGCTCTGAGAGAACGCCTAATGAGCATTTTCATAATTTTATTTGAGATAAACCATTGTCAAATACACTTTGAAACACTTTTTTTTACACTTTTGGTCTTCACTACAACCCGTCAAAATAAAAGTTTGGTTTTACTAGGAGAAATTAGGACAGAAATATATTACTATTATACAATAGAACGTAGCCTACTTCTCTAAATAATAATAATAATAATAATAACAACAATAATAATACATTTTATTTAAACATTATTTAAAGGAATATATTTTTTGTCCATGGTTTAATTTAGTAAATCTGTTTTTGCAGCGCTTCCCAAAAAAATAAAAGGACACAATTTTAAATTTACATTTGATTACAACCGTTTTTGATAATATATTTGGATTAAATCATAAAAAGAAACATTCATTTTCTGAATAAAATACATTTCATAGGACAATATTTTTCTTAAACATTTTAATAAATTATTAATGTTAAAAATAAGTTGTTAATCTAATTCATTATCAATTATCAAATTTAATTGATTAGACATGTTTTATTGAAATTCTTTTTATCGAAGCACGATAATTCGAAAATACTACAGGTTTTCTACTGATACAAAGCTTAATGCTAAATCCTGAAGTGACCCTTTAATTTAACTGTCATTTTAACTGATGATAATAATAATAATAGCCTACCCATAATTTAATAATACAGTTTATTTATTTAATAATTGATTAATACTGTAAACCGTGATATTTTCTGAGACATTATCATACTGTGAAAATCTCATACCATTACAAGCCTACACGGGAGAGTCCCCCACCCCCGCTGTTAAAAAAGTTACTCAGTAACTTTTACTCTGAGTAAATTTTAAATGAGCTACTTTTTACTTTTACATGAGTAGATTTTTAGACCGGTACTTTTACTTGTACTTAAGTAAAATTGAATTGAAGTAGTAGTACTTTTACTTGAGTAGAATATTTTATTACTCTTTCCACCTCTGGTGATGGACACATGGTTATGCGTGTGTTTTTCTTATCTTTAAATTAAATAGTGAGATATCATATATACTGGTTTAATATCGGCCCTCCTCTCTAAAATATCGGTTGCGCACTAATTATTATGCGTCGGTGGGTGAGTGTATTAGTGTGTGTGACTCACTAGACATGGACTGGAGGGCTCAGGACCGGCCGCCGCAATGCTCTCACAGAACGTTGTGTGTACAGTGGAGTTGAGAGCGTCGCCAGGAAGGGCAGAGCTGGGACTGAGACTTCGGCTGATCAGGGCAGTCTGTGGCAGTGAACACACTGGTGGCTGTGCATGGGACAAACACAATGCGTGTTATTGCTTATGGTTGTAATGAGAAACAAACCTAAACAAACAAAAGCATGCAGTCATTCGAAACTTATCTACTACAGATATAAAAAAAAAATGTATTAAAAGCTTCAGACTGAATAACTTCATTGGAGCAGCATTCTAACATCATATACTAACCAGGTACAATGAAACTGATTTGAAACCAATAAGATTGGACTGTGGGAGGGGCTTCCTTGTGTAATGACCATGAAACCAAATGTTAAAATGCGACAGCCAATCAGATCATATTTGATGTTTCTAATATGGAATTTTGGACCATTGAGATTTGGTTTCATCGTCATTACACAAGGAAGCCCCTCCCACAGTCAAATCTCATTTGTCCAAAATTCTGTATAAGAAACATCAAATCTGATCGGCTGTCGCATTTAAAAAATTGGTTTCATTGTCGTTTCTTATACAGAATTTTGCACAAATGAGATTTGACTGTGGGAGGGGCTTCCTTGTGTAATGACAATGAAACCAAATGTTAAAATGCGACAGCCAATCAGATCATATTTGATGTTTCTAATATGGAATTTTGGACCATTGAGATTTGACTGTGGGAGGGGCTTCCTTGTGGAATGGCTTTATTCGCAATAGCAAACTACCATATACTCTTACTATTTTTGTAGAACATATAGTGCAAATACTGCAAATTTCCTATATGCATGTCATGCAATAATTAAATAACCGACAACTTTTGCAAAAATGAGTTAAATACAACAGAGTACACTGTGCTACTGTATCCCACAATACACATTATCAATTATTTTTCCAGCATGATGAATAAAACAGCTACTATTCTGTATATACTATAGACTGCCATTCTTACACACGTTCAAATAAAATTCCAAAATATCTGTATTTATTTCTTGGAAATATATGAAATGTAAATACTCTAAAGTGTTGTCAAAAGTTTGGAGTCAGTAATATTTTTTAAATGTGTTTAAAAGAAGCTGGAGCTGCTATACAGGGATACAGTAGGAGTTATTGTATATCATGCCACCTCATCATGATGTGACTAAGGCAAAGTAGGAGTAAAAGATAACATGTTAAAACATCAATGACCCCAATATCTAGATAAATCAATTTCTCCACAGCATAAACGTCTCCATACACACCATATCACTTGACAAACTGACAATCCATCATGACCTCAATGATTTAAACTGACATCATCATACTCTCCTATTAGCAGAGCAATGTGACTGTCACCTGGAAAATTGAGAGGCTGGATTTAGCGACGGGGCGCGTTGTCATGGCAATACTGTTCTCTGATGACTCACACTCGTGGATGGTGAGTATCTGGAGGGCGGGTGGAGGGAAGTGGAGGTGGGTGAGCCGCGCGTTCTTCAAGTGATGGAAGTCGCCCTCCGTAAGCGTGTACCTGAGGGGAGATGACACATACTATTAGTATTTATCACTTCATTATAGATTTGCATCACAAATATATCACGGGAATGTTTCCTGAAAATGTCTTTTAGATAGTCAAAGATGAGCGGACTGTGCTAGATTTATGCATAGTTCCTGTTAGATCAATAATTATATAGTTATATTTTATTAAAAGAATGATATAAAAATAATCCTTTATAAAATATATAATTATATAAATATCTCTGTGTGTTAATTAAAAACCACCATTTTAAACACCTTTTCCTTAAAAAAAAACAAAAGTGAAATTTGACAAATGACAAACTGCATAAATTCAAAGTCTTTATTTGTGAGGTCATATAAATGTATGCATAAGTATTAAAGAATTAAATGTTTTAAAAAAAAAAGTTTTAGATAATATATAACAATACACACACATACACAAACACACATATACGTATATATATATATATGACCTAATTAATTACATTTAAATATTCAAATATTTGAATACTTAAAAATTCTTCAAATAAAATGTAAATAATTAAAATTAAATGCTTTTTTAAAATACTCTTAAATTAAATAGTTAAACGTGTATATATATATATATATATATATATATATATATATATATATATATATATATTTGTAATATACATTTAATACTTATGCATTCATTTTTATGACATTACAAATAAATAGCAATCAACAGACTATTTGAAAAATGTGTACAACAAAATATTCATTTGTCAAATTACATGACAGGTGATTAAAATGTGTGTTTATTTTTTTTAACGAAATATACACTTTCCCTAATACATTCTCATTCATGTTTTAACCCAAAATCTTGATTTTGAAAAATGCCCATGTTATTCATCAAGAGCTAGTGCATCTCAAGCACATATGTAAATGTAAAACGCATACATAAAGGAATAATGAAAGCTGAGGCAGTAAGCGCTGTGAATAGGAGCTGCTCTGTGTGTCTAGAGTGGGCGGCATGAGTGAGTGGGCGGCTGACCTTCGACCTTTCTCCTGTGGTTTTTTGCTGTGATCGAAGAGTGCTGCTTCGTTGAAGGAGACCCGGCGGCCGGTTGTGCCCGTGGAAAGGAAACGCTCTGTCTCCATGTCGTGGGAGCTGGCTGCCGACAGGCAGTCTGACTCATCAATGCGAATCGTAATCTCTGTGCGGGGAGAGACGGATTAGACCAGAGGACGTATTTGTTTTTCACATAATGCCCTCAGCTGATGTATGTGAGACTGCATAAATGTTGCTTTAACTTGACCTCGACATTTTACCTGAAGCATGTATGTAAATACATATGGAAATGCATTAACTTGGGGGCTGACATATAATATAAACATTAACTTTATTAGTGAAGTTCTTACCATGCACTGGCTGGGCCTCCTCAATATATGTGGTATTACTTTTCTCGGTGTCATCGCTAGCCCTGAGGCAAACAATGAACCTTCAATGCAAACATGTAATGAGTCAAATTCAAACTTATGTAAATCTCATTCATAGCATGCATAAGTGGGTCATTCTCAAAATATGGTGCAAACATGTTCCTAGAGTTTGATTCTATTGCTTTGCATGTTTTTTATTATTTTATTTTGCATTGAAAATCCCTTTAATATTTCATTATATTATAAGTTATATCACAAAGTTATTAAGTTAGTATAAAATAATATAAAATGTTTTTTTATTATTATATTATATTATATTATATTATAAAGTAAATAATAATATATTTAATTTAACACTAATGTTTATGTTTTGTTTTATTGGTTTTGTCAATGTGGAGATTCCCTCACCAGATTGAAAAGTTAATAATTTATAAATTGTGTTTAATTAAAAATGTAATTGTCAGTTAATACTCAAAGCAAGAATAAAAAATCAATAAAATTAAAGTGGCTTTTAGTCCATGCGAGTTAGCGTTCAGGTAATCTATATGCTAGTTTAACCCCTGAAAGTTGTTAAAACTTAAATACACATTTAAAATGTACAGTCTTTCTCTTCCAAAAAACAGAGTGAAAATACTGATGATGTCATCATGCACAGATTTTAATCAAACGCTGGAGTGAAAATGTCCCTCCCCCTAATGCCACCAGATAGAAAAATAGTTGTCATTTAAAACCAATTGAGATGTCCTGCCCAAACTTCCTGTTTCAATACGAAACGTGATTTTATGGGGTCTTTAAATGAGGTTTTGCGATATTTTGAGAACGTCCCGATTGTGAGCAATTAAGAAATAAATAACTCATAACACATTCACCTGCGTTGACATCTAACTAAATGCCATATGATGGGGAAAATAACAACACCGGCTTTATTACGACAATATACGGTTTGATTCGCCATAAGGCACTGTGGGTAATGAGAAACTGGAAATGAGTTTCCAGTCCTCTAACCACAGTGCACGGTGTCACACTGCGAGAGTGTGTGTGTGTTAGTGGGTGTTGGCTAGAGTGCACTCTCTCCCGCACCAGGAGTGATTTATCGTGGCTGATGGCTGCTATGAGATCTCATTATACTCGTCATTTGTGTGAGCCTGCACTCCTCCAGGCTGCCTGGAGAGCAGACAGACTCTACACCTCTCAGCAGTCACTGACAAATACACCCAGGCTGTGACCAATGTGCTCTGAAAACATTTTCGGGACTGAGCGTCCTTGGCTTCACGGGAGGATCTGTTTATTCCAGTTGAATCTCCGCGTTACGGTTCTTTCTGATGTATAATTTAGCGTCAAACATAATCATATGCATCAGCTGTCAGAATTGTAACATACGCAGCAACATGCAAACATCCTGCAACGATGATTCAATCTAATGTATATTCATAATGAAAGCATTCTCATTTAATCTATGCTATTTTATGTATAAACTGTAATTGTTTCAGTGTTTTTATGACGTGTTTTAAGTTAAATAGACTTCTGAACGTAAAAACATGTCCTGTTGAAAAAATCCTGAATTTTGTTATCAATATCAATCACTGTTCTAACAACATGGATCCTTTTGTTATACATTTTGCAACCGTTTTAAGGGTTTTAAATAAAAAATTGGATCTTTGTACATTTTACACAATCCAGAGGGGCTGCTCTGAAAAGATAAGAATAGAAATATCACTGAGATTTAAAAAATAAACAAAGTGCACATTTACTGTACCAGTCAGTGTTGTTATTGCTAACTAAACCCATTTTAAAAACTTGAAATAATTGAAATAAAGCTGAGGTAAGTAAAAAAATAAATATTAGATGAAAAACTTGAAATAAAATAAGACATTTTGCCTTGGCAATAAACTGAAAGTGCTAAAATGACTAAAAACAGAAATAAAATTGAATTAAATCTAAAGAGATTTTTTTTTTAAATGACAAAAACACATAAAAAAATTAAGCAAAAATAAAAAGCGAAAGTATACGAATAAAAGCTAATTCAAAATATTAATAAAAACTTTAATAGTATATAGATAATACTAAATCATCACCTACTACTACGACTAACCTAAAATATTACACATGTGAAGGTAATTTATTAATCAGTATCTATTTTAAATAGATACTGCAGTTGCACCACATGACATTTTTCCGGGAGAAGAAAAAAACGGGGAAATGTTAGGTTGAATATTATTGAAGTTCCCAATCCTAAAATCTGATTGGTTGACAGAAATGTTCATCCAGAAGTATATTGATTTAGGGACGTGTCAATGCATAAATTTGATTGATTGGCTTGGTCTTACCACGCATGGCGTCTGTCCCCTTCACAACATCGACGACAGACAATCAGAAGGACAGAGAGCAGGACCACTGTCCCCCCGACAAAAATGGACAAGAGGACCAGCAGGAGGACATAGCCATTCTGTGTCCCTGACGACAACGGGACGTCCTAGGTAAACCCCAGAGAAAGAAACAAACCAGTCAAAGATTAAATTCCTTCTCAGAGTAAAACCGCATGACTTCAATTTTCACATTATATAGGTTTCTCCAATTACGTTGTCCAACTTTTTCAGGTCTCATAACCTAGAAAAAGGTTCAAATTTTACTGACACATAAACCAGAGACATGTTTGGCATTAAAGCAAAAATTGCCCAAGACACTCTTAAAAATAAAGATTCCAAAAGGGTGTTTTCGCAGCAATGCCATAGAAGAATCATTTTGTTTCCTCAAAAAACCTTTCAGAGAATTTTTTTAATAAGACATTTTAATAATCTAAAGGACATTTTTCTACTATAAAGAACCTTTTGTCCAAATGGAAAGTTCGGTGGAGGTTCTTCATTAAACCATATGCCAATAAAGAACCTTCATTTCTTAGCGATATTACATAAAGCACAGTTTCTGGAGGGGAGGACCTTCAGGTGTGGGGGCTTTTGTGTCTGAGTTGAGATGTTAAGTACAGTGTTTACCAAAGACGAGTTTAGAAAGATCCAGGGGTGACAGCAGCCACGGAGACGAGAACGGAAGAGACAGTAGGTTTCTTCGTCAAAGACATCAAAGCACAAAGGCATACAGCACCTTTCACCCTCCCGCCTGCTTAACTGTCATCTTCGTTCACGTAGGCTATGTGAAGAGGTGTTTAATGGAAAGAATGCTAAATAAGAGCATAAGAACAAGCCCTTAACAAGTCTTTGGCTCATATATGTAACACCTTACAATTACTCTTCCATTATTCAGCTTCAATTGGTGGAGTACAGCATCCTAATTACCCAGAAGACATTGTTCAGTTGAAGATCATGGAAGACTTTATTCAGATCGGTAAATGAAAGCGTTTTGAAGAATGATCTCTCTTTACGTCAGCAGGCTATTTATCACTGGGGCGCCTCAACGTTAACCCGGATTGGCAAAAGTGAAGGATGTTCTCAAAGGAGAAACTGGGAACTCTTTCATGGAGTAGCATTGTTAAAGTTTTAAGAAGAAGTCAGACCACCTTGTTTAAAGACCAACATCAGAGCAGTTTCACTGTCACCGAACAACAGTGATTTGAAACAGTCAGTAATACAATAAAAAAGAAGATTTCTTTTGTTGTTTAACATTAAATGACACAGACGGCAGGTTAATTAGGCTGCTGTCACTTTAAGACCAAAAGCACAGATAATACTGACAAGCATTCGATTACTTTCCCAACTGTTTATGTTCACTTAAGACTGTGTTTAAGTGAAACCTGCCAAGACAGACATTTTAAGATATTTTTGTGTGTATTTGTCCGTTAAAGTGCACGCCGAATCCCAAAGTGATCTCGGATCGAGTGCACAGAAAGGCACCTGGGGAACAGCGTCTCTTTTGCAGCTCAATGCACTTTTGACTCTTTATTTAGTATCGAGCACGTCCCACAGGAGATTGTATATTACGATAGTCATGTTTAGACTGATTTGGATGTTACTTAGGAAGGGAGACAACGCTTCCCTTTAAAGGAAAGGAATGGAATGCGGCAATCTTGTTTTTCATTGTTGGAAGCCAAAATCAAAAACTAAACTAAGATTATATTACTCGCTCAGCCCTAGTCATTAAATTATATCTGAAAGCAAGGGGTCCGCCTGATGGTTCGGATCATGGTGGTTTGGTGGTTTACCGAAATTTGGGCAAACGAAAAAATAAAAAAATGTTGTTTTCGGACTAAATCGTTTTGGGGAGCCGGAATCCCTGATCGAAACAGCAATGTTTAGTTAGAGTTTCTACCGTTCTGACTGTTTCGGCATCTATTTCATGCACACATCGTGGATAAGCTAAACAGCTAACCAAAAATTATGCTACTTCACAAGAATGTCAGAGTAGCAATACGTAAAATGTCTTTAAAATTCTGCTAAAATTATGAGGTGGCTCCTTCAATACAACTTCAATACAGCTTAATTTATCACCTGACAACACGATGCCCTGAACCGAAAACCAAGTTCAATTACCCAAATTTAATTACCGAAATTTTTTAATTTTTCGGTTTTGATGTTTCGGTGAAAAACAAAGAAAATAATTCGGTGCATTACTAATTGTTGTTCAAAACCTGTATGCCTTTCTTTCTTCCATGGAACAAAAATGGAGAAGTTTTCAAGAACAATTTTCTGAATAGATTCATTGAAAAAATCTGACTCGAAAGTCATTCATTCATGAAATGATTCATTGACAAATCACACTGCTACATCTTTCTGTTCCTCACACAAAGCTTATAGTCTTTACAAAGCTTATTATTCTTTTATGGTGCTTTTTCACCTTTTTGAAGCTTGACATTCGGGTTCGGGCACGCGCGAATCCGTCTGCCTGACGGAGCTCCGGATGGAGCAAAGATGGTCCCGAAACGGACCTTCGGGGTTTTGTCGAGTCATCCAGATTTGGAACGAGTAAATGAATCATATTTGAGTGAACCATTCCTTTAAGCCTTACATAAGGTCCAAGAAATGCCAGAACATCCTGGAATTAGTTGCTATTCCTGAATAAATCTCTCTATTCTAACCTAATCGAATGATGCTGCTTATGCCGGTAATTGAAGTTCCTGACAGTAACTCTGGGTTCTGATGCTCTATCACATCGTCTGACGGCACGATGGATTCGGTCTGACACAAACTTCTCTCGCAAAGGGCTAATTTGCTTAGATCTTATGGTGGATCCAATTACAAGGGATGCAGAACAGGATATTTTTGATTCGCATGTCTGGAGATAGCTCTGAAAAAGAGAGGGAATGGACGTAATGAAAGTAACCAGCACAGGAAGGAGAAGCGCAAGTACTTACGGTGGGGTGTTCTGTTAGGTTCCATATGGCAGACTCATTGCTCATGGTCCAAGCCAGAGAGAGTGTCCCCCCTGAGAAAGACATTACAGGAAGTCAGGCAGCTGCTTTGAAGCCGGTTATGGCACTAAAGACGGATTTGAATTCTCTTTTTAGAAGGAAAATAAAACAAATGCATCCCTGAACTGCAGTTTCTTTAGAATGATTAGCTTTTAAACAAGAATACAGTTCCCAGTCTCCTTCTTAAACATATTTTGTTCACAAATTCATGCATATACAAACACATACTTATGCATTCCAATGTCACCCTTTCCATCAGATAACCATTTTTCCTTTTTTCATCCAGTCTGAGGCCCAGCAGCATATGCTCCCTTTAACACCATTAACACTGCAGATTCAAAGAAACCCTCTCTCACACTCCTGCACACTCACCTCCCAAGCAGTCCTTGCTTCTTTAATGCTGCGACGCTGCCTTTTCTCCCATTATCTGAAGGCAGCGTGTGTTTGTGTGCATGAGATGCAGAGATAGCAGTGTGTTTAACGGCTCGGACTGCGAAGCCTTCAGCTTCTACTGCATACTCATCCGGCTTCTGCCCACCTACCTGTTTTCATAGCTTCTCTCTCTCTTTCTCCCTCTTGGAGTCTTTAGCATTAGGCATTCCTGAGATAATTCAAGCTCATTCTTTTGCGTCTCGGAAGCATAATGCTGCTGTATCGTTCGCGTCTAATGTACTGCGTTATTAGTTATGGTTATTGAAACGAATCAAGAGAGACCCATTTAGTACCATTCATGGACTATTCTTTCAGATGTCATTGCCAGATTTCACTCACAGAGATTCACTCTCTTTGGTTTTCAGCTTTTCACCATTTCTGTCTGTAATGAAATATTTTGCTGTATGATATACTGTAAAGAGCGTTTTTACTCGATATGACCCCTTTGTAGCCTAAGTCGTCAGGTTAATTTGGTTAATAATTTGGCTACCACATTAAGCACATTTTAGGTTATTTGAAGAAACATATTTCAGTTTATAGTAATTATCTAACTATCATGAACGTTTTGGTGTGGTTCTTCTTGTCATGCGTGGAAGACTCTGCGGAGGTGTAGCACATTCAAAAATCTCTTCCATAAGCATTTCTTATAGATTATTTGAATTAATTCTTTCAAACAAACTAGAACCTTCATGTATTATCTTCATGTACACTAGTATATTACTCATATTACTGGTACTTATTTTATTTTTCATTAGTAAGTACAATACCAACAATTATCTTTCTCATCATCCCTGATTAGCCATTAAGTTCTAATAGGCTACTTATTACAACACTAAATATTCCATTGTTACTTGTCCGAACAAAGAAAAAAATGCAATTTGTTACAAGTAGCTACTTAAAATTAATGTTGGTTGATTTGAAAAAAAGATAAAAGTTGTGATAACAAATCATGTACTTGTTTTACCTTTACCTTTTAAGTTTTACCAAAAGTTTGTATTGCAGTTTTTTACAACTTGCAGGTCATCCTGATTTTGCCAGATAAGACATCCTGAAACAACATCATGTCCAAAAATTTGGTCCAAACCGTATCCCTACCCCTAAACCCATAACTTATCCCTAAAATCAGAATGAAATGATAGGTGAATAACACTGATGTAGAAGCACCTAACCCTGGTTGCAAACCTAAACTTGCCACAAACTGTAAACTTGTCCTCACAATCTGATTGGTTGATTGGAATGTGGTTCCAGGATCAAAAAAGATATTGATCCAGAAACATGTTGCACTTGGTGAAATCATAACATTTTTAATCGTAGCCTACTAGTAATATATAAATTACAGCTAACTGAGCTATTCTGAGTGTTCATTAAATATGATTATATATAAATATAAATATTACTAGTAATAACAGTGATCAATTCTAGTGTCTAATTATACAAGAATCGAATCAATAAGTACTAAGGCTGGAATACTTGAGATAAGCATTAGGATCGAATGAATAGTAGCATAATAATTACTAGTCAAATTGATTAGTCAGTATCGGAAAACTTACTAGTAAAAAGGTATTAGTAAGATAAAAATAGATAGTAGTTAGTCTACATGAATAAATGTTCAAACCGCTTGCCACAGTCAACAAACAGGCGATACAAAACCCTTATAGATGAATTTAAATCTCAATCCAAACCAGTGATGTCCAGGCTATTATTTCTAATCGATAACCGTTTAAAACCCAGGATAACCCATGTCTGTTTTCCAAAGCTACTGCTTGAAGAAAATCTCCGCATTTTAGACTGACGTTACCATAATTACCAAAAAATAAAGCACGATGTCATTCTAAGACACTGAGCGCTCATCACCGAAACAATAGCAGCGTGAATGACAAGCAAACAAAACTCACCTAACTATAATTCACGTGGTCCATGAGACAAAAAGCTTGCAAACGATTCCCAGATCTTCTCTTTAATTTGGGGTTTTAAATCTTTGTGTATTTATGAATGAAGTGTCCCGTTAAACACACCCACTCTCCCATCGCCCAGTGATACTGTGACGTCAGAGTGAGGTGCAGCGTTACTTATCACGAGTGTCTCTCACGCCCTCATCTGATGATGTTATGGAAATGAGGTAATCCCCCATTTGAGTCAGTAAAAATCCTCAGTAACGGGCAACCCCAAGCGGTCTGGTCTATATATATAGCTAAAAGTTTTGGGGTTAGTAGTATACTAACAGCTAGTAGTTTTCTTAGAAAAGCAGGAATGACCTGAATGGGTCAAAGAATGGACCTGAGATGCAAATTTGCATACCGGTATGCATATATGCTCTCTATGTGCAATGCATATTTTTCAGCTTTTGTCTGGAAACATGTTTTTTTTTTTTTTTTGCACTGTCCCTATTCAACTGAACTAATAAATCTAGATAATTCATGTTGAATAGAAAAACGCAATATAGAGTAGAAAACAGTAAGTTATAAATCTATTTGAAGTGAATCATTATTATGTTTCAATGTGATGCTCCATCAAACAAGAACAAATATGTTAATCAATTCAATTCGTGCGATGAATATATTGAAATTGATATTTACTGAGCGCCCCCTCCTGGTCGTACAACACAGTACACCCTTAACGTAATTGTATGTGGCTAGTTTTTACTTCAGTGAATATTTCTCACAGTGAGTTTATTTTTGATATAAACTGATATTTTAGAGACAAAAATAAATGAACTACATTTAGGACACCGAACATTTTGATCGTTATTGCACAGGAAGAAAAATACAGCTCACTGATGTAGTTTGTGACAACTTGCCCCAAAGGCTTCCATTGTTGTTTAAACCAGGGTTTTATGAGCAAGATTACAGTTCATGAGCCACAAACCGATACAGCAAAAATGGAAAAGGTAATATTTCAAACCAATTGTTTGACCATCACACTCGTTTAATTGTCAAACCATCAGTGAACATACATGCACCACAGGGGAATTCTGTCGTTTTTTATTTGAAACGATATAAATATTGTTTAACAAAATAACCCACAGCAGAGTCACTCATTTACACCTCATTCCAATAAAATGGCAGATTACTTTTGTCTCGCTAATGACGTTTTAAATCATTTTATGTCTCCTATACACATTTTCATAATTTTCGTAATTACAGCTGGCTTGGCAATGACGTAACATAAAAATATTTTGCTCACAAGAGATAATTACCTTATTTCCCCCCTTTGCTTTCTTCACACATCCTCTTATAATTGATCTTGAGCTTACTCTTCACGACACTGTTTTTCTATTTAATTAATAAGTGCACTATATTTTTTAAAGGGGCAAGTTTGCCAGTTAATTATGTCCGTAGCGGTGGAAATTACGTCACATCTGAACATTGTTTTGAGAAAAAGAATATATTTTCAGAATTTTTACAATATTAAGTTTAAAAACTAAAAAACATGAACTTTCTTGAATCTTTCTTGAAACATGAATCTTTAAACATGAACTTGTATGTTTGTCTTTTATTTTATTTTTTATCTGTATTTGTAAATCTTTAAAATCACTAATAATAATAATAATAATAATACTGGTTTTAAAGATTTACAGAAAAATAATTTACATAATGAATGTCGAAAACATTTGTGTTTATTGTCCTCGTTCAATATAGATCTGTAATAATTTAGATTTGTACGATCGATTTAAATATTTTAAGCTAAATTTGGGTCAAGGCTAAAAAAATCAAATCTATGCAAAAACGGAATTTTTACGTTGCAAAACATCACCCTATACTTACATGAATAAATTATAACCTCCATGTCAGTTCATATTTGCTTTTTAAAAAAACTACAGTTCCCATCAGCCCCACAGTTCGCGCAAAGCCTGACGGGAAAGCTTGCCCGTGCCCTTGTCCTATCAGCCGCGCACTATCTGACTTGACTGCCTGTGCTGTGTGGTGGACAGGGAAGCCGAGGCTTGTACATTGTCGTGCTGTAAAGGTCAGGTCTCTTCTCCGTGGTAAAAATGATGGCAGCGAGGTTTTTCCTTCGTCGCGCGGTCCCTGCGTTGAGACACGCGCGCTGTTATGCCGACGCGACTTCCTCCGCTGAAATGTCCTTCACTTTCGCATCGCCGACACAGGTACTGACTGGCTCCGGCCTCGGGCCTACACGCTCTGCTAACACGCTAATCACCGGCTGTGATTACTTCAGTTATATTATGTGTCTTATATGTCATGATTTACACTCAGCTTATCGTGGATATACTCTTTATTGTAGATATAGTTTGATTTGTGTGCGCGCGTGCATGTTGCTCGTGCTACTTACGTGGGTAAACCTGTCAATATATAAAACCATTGTGGTACAGATTATTGTTTTTGCATCCGCAGCGAATGTATTTAATGTAACACTATACAATGTTTACGCCTTATTTATATATATATATATATATATATATATATATATATATATATATATATATATATATATATACACACACCAAATTCAGACTTGCAAAACATGGACACACGTTTGAATGACTTTAGCAGACTGCTAGCATTGCCACCGATCACCTTGACTTGTTTTGTTTTTTTCCAAAGGGAAGATCAATTAAATGTCTTAGGACAGCTGATAAATTATGTAATTTCTTTATGAAATTTTGAACCATCAAAATTTAAATCACACTTAATATGTTATATGGGTGTATAGTGGCAGGGCAAAGTAACTGTCACAGTCTCTTCAACATTAAATGTTTTATTCACACTCATGAAAAACCTGGAAATATCAGGGTATTTTAAAATGATTCCCAGAAAAAAAAAATCCTTGAAATTAAGCTTTAAATGTCAAGGAAATTTCTATCATAATTAACTGACAGATATTAACTTTATGTATTTAATATATTTGCTTGTGGAATTGAAGGGCATATTTGTTTACTAACCATATATAAAAATGTGATTACCGGTAGTAGAAAATGCCATTTTTGTCATATGTATTTGAATGAATGAAAATTAGAAATGTATTGTAAATTAAATTGACAAATAGTGATATAATAATAAAATAAATCATATTAAAATCTGTACATTTGCATGCTAAGAACAACATCAAATGCAAAAGTAGCCTAAGTAATACATATAAATAATGTGCAGAGAGTTCATAACACAGTAATAAAAAAAATAGAAAGT